CTATTGGAGGATATTCGGGATGCGGCTGGACTATATCCTTATATAACTGTAGCTATATGTTTATGCTAAGGCTTCGGAATGTCCCCAGTTTTGCTAAGGCCGTTTTTGCTTTGTTTATTATATCTTTGACGTGATTTTTTTTTATACGTTATATTGATCATGAGTCCGAGTACTCTGCCTACATCCTCATACTGGATCGGGCGGTTGTCTAGGAAAATGTAATCTGGGTTTCTTTTGGTTTAGGGTTTCAAAATGGGTTTCTTTTTGTTATGGGTATTATCTGGAACGCTTGTTTATTTGTACTTTTTTCTTTGCTTTTCATAGTTGTTTATGAATTTAATTGCTGTCTCTCCCCCCCCCTATCTCTCCCCCCCCTATCTCTCCCCCCCTATCTCTCCCCCCTATCTCTCCCCCCTATCTCTCCCCCCCCCTGTCTGTCTCTCAGGAATCTTGTGCAACAGTCTTCACGCGGACAATTGTGGCCATCTTTTGTTATGTGGTATAATTTATCACGTGTGCTTGTCTGTCAGTGTCTTTTGAGAGCATTTTTTTTATCTGGTAAAGAGGATGGAAAGGCTCAGGTGAAGGGATGTTTAGAAGTAGGAAATAGAGTGAGAGTTATGAAAGCCGGCGGACTGTCCGCCTTGCTGACCTTTGCCCATCACCACCTCCCTCCCCTCCCTCCTGCCCTCCCTCCCTCCCCTCCTTGTCCATCACCCCCTCCCTCCTGCCCTCCCTCCCTCCTTGTCCATCACCCTCTCCATCATTGCCCACCTCCCCCCATCCGCGCGTGCTCACCACCCCCCTCCCCGCCATACCCCCCTCCACAACTCACCCCCTCCCCAACTCACCCCCTCCCCACCTCCCCCAGCACAGACTCGCTTTACTTTCCAGTGATCAAGGTCTTATCTCCTGGGCCAGGTCATCTTGCGCTTGGGTTTCCTCGCCCTGTTTCTTGGCTCTGGCAACCTCTTGGCTCTGGCAACCTCTTGGCTCTGGCAACCTCTTGGCTCTGGCAACTGGCAACCTCTTGGCTCTGGCAACCTCTGGCTCTGGCAATCTCTGGCAACCTCTGGCTCTGCCAACCTTACGGTGGTATTGCCATTGGGTCCAGATCTGCCACATGGCTAAACTGATCTAGAGTTGTGACTCAAAATCCACTGAGAATGGCCACCCTTCTTTGTGTTTGTTGTCTTCTGGTGCTGCTCTCTTTAAGACACCTTCAGGATGGTTCGTGTGTGCTTCTTCCTGTGTCTCCAGCGTCGTGTGGCAAGGACTATTCTGCCTTAGTGAGCCACGACACATGGTCTCTTGAAATCAGTCAAGATGTCTGTTGGGAAGATCATTGCTTCTTCTCTAGTGTGAGGCCCATGGCGAGAGGTCTGCGTGTGCCTGTGAAGGTTGCCTCACCTCGCCATGCGGTGCCTGTGAGGGCTGCCTCACCTCGCCATGCGGTGCCTGTGAGTGGGTGGTGACGCTCAAGCTACAACTTACCGCACAGTTGGTGACTAAGGGACAATAACTTACCATGTGGGTGGTGACTTGTCACGCGGGTAGTGACACCCACACGTCGGGCCGCTGGCCACGCCTGGGATGGTTGGGACGCGTGGTGGGGGGACCATCTTGGTCTGGTTTAAAGAGAACCATGAAAGGTCACTAGTATGACCTGATATATTTTCTCAGGAGCAGTTTTGCAGGCTTCCAGCGCTGCCTTCCTCCCTCACAATACAATTGTGTTTGTGAGAGAGAGCGAGAGATAGTTAGATAGATTTGGTAATGGATATAGTTCCATCACTAGCACTAGAAGCACACACACAGACAGGGTGACATCAGCAGCATACGGGACGCTGACAAATATTTTGAACGTCGGCGATGAGTCACAATAACGTGGCTAAAGTATGTTGACCAGACCACACACTAGAAGGTGAAGGGACGACGACGTTTCAGTCCGTCCTGGACCATTCTCAAGTCGATTGTGAATGGTCCAGGACGGACCGAAACGTCGTCGTCGTCCCTTCACCTTCTAGTGTGTGGTCTGGTCAACATTTTGAACGTCGTTTAGACGCCTAAACCAAGACGTTTTCATGGTAATCTACACAGCTTTTCTTAGACCAATATTGGTATACACAGCAGCGGTCTGGATCCCGCACCTTGTGCAGTCAGTCCTCCTAAGATTTCCCAACGTCAAGAAAGTAGTCAATTTAAAGTGTCCTCTCCTAACCGACCAGAGGACCCAAAACAGAAAACGGGACAGTATGTGACTTTCGCCAGCCGCTTCCGTCTTCAGTTAGACAATTTTTGGCCTTGTGTAACGCACACGATCGAATTGCGACGTTCTTTGTAAGAGGTCAGATGGCCTTGTGAAGCCTAAAATTAAAGGTGAAAAACTGCAGATGTTTGCAACTATATTAGTGGCAGAGCTCTTGAGGATACGCAGGAGGAACTGGACCTCACAACCCAGGAGACCAGACGAAACGGAGGAGATATGATCTCCACATACAAGATAATGAGGGGAATAGACAAGGTGGACAATGTCAGCCTTTGTTTACGTTGACAGTAAAACAAGAGAACGTGAGTGGAAGTTGGAAACACAAATGGGTCGAAGAAATGTAAGGAATTACTATTACCCTCGGGGAGCCGGTCGGCCGAGTGGACAGCACGCTGGACTTGTGATCCTGTGGTCCCGGGCCCCGGCGAGAAGCAATGGGCAGAGTTTCTTTCACTCTATGCCCCTGTTACCTAACAGTAAAATAGGTACCTGGGTGTTAGTCAGCTGTCACGGGCTGCTTCCTGGGGGTGGAGGCCTGGTCGAGGACCGGGCCTCGGGGACACTAAAAAGCCCCGAAATCATCTCAAGATAATCTCAAGATATACCCTTTACGGGTAGTCAAGAATGCTCTGAAGGAGGACGTCGTGGAAGCCACCTCCAACCACAACTCTAATGACAGGTTCAGTGAAGACTTTGAGCGTCAGTAGAGTTAGGGTGTGAGGCAACAGGTGTCCCAAGGCTATAGTAGTCGGGGCATGAAGATCTTAGACGACGGGAGACATCTCCCGTCACGCAGGGTGCAGTCGCACCTCCACAGATCTCCAGTATCAGCTCTTGATACTAGTAATGGCTCCAAAGGGCCACCACTTACGAGCTATTCATGCCCGTGCCACCTTTTGGGTGGCTTAATCTTCATCAATCAATCAATCATCGATCTTAGACCTCGTGTTCCCTCAGTCACTACTGAGTAAACACAGAAGTGTGCTGGGGACGGGTGAGGTGGGTAGTGGGGTCAGGGGGTAGAGTGAGGGAGGATGTGTGGATGGAGGGGCTTGTGGTGCTCTATGTGAGGGACTGGAGCAAGGTGGAGGAATATGTCTGTGAGAGTTTGGGGGGGGGGGGGTTATGACTATGTAGGAGAGGGGCTATGGTTGTGGAGTGTGTGTGTGTTGGGGGGGGTTATGACTATGTAGGAGAGGGGCTATGGTTGTGGAGTGTGTGTGTGTGGGGGGGGGGTTATGACTATGTAGGAGAGGGGCTATGGTTGTGGAGTGTGTGTGTGTGTGGGGGGGGGGGTTATGACTATGTAGGAGAGGGGCTATGGTTGTGGAGTGTGTGTGTGTGGGGGGGGGGGGTTATGACTATGTAGGAGAGGGGCTATGGTTGTGGAGTGTGTGTGTCAACTGCGACTTGGTCACAATTCTTTGACCATGTCGTGGCACAGTCGATTAAGGCAGCGTCTGGGATAATCTCGTATGTAGGTTCGAACCCTCATCACGGCCCTTATGGATTTATTCATACTGATGGTTGTACTACGAGAGAGGCTAGAGATGAGAGTAGTGTAAGAGGCTGGAAGTAACAGTTGAAGGATGCTGTCAGGGATCTATCTGTCTCTCCTACATACCCAGCCTCTGGACTAAACTTGTAACCCAACTTGAGACCATTTAATAACTTGAACTTTTGACCTCATTTGGCCGAGCTTGATGACCCGTGACGAGGCTGTTCACGCTTGACTCACCCTTCGTGTCTCCGCCCTTCTCCCTCCCCTCAACTGACCCCGAACTGTGAAGTATTATCATCATGGTGTATTCCTGTACCGGAATAAGCCACAATAAGTTCAACTTGCCCGCATGATGATGAGGACGATGTTGCTAGACTCACCGTTGTATACAAGATGCCTGTGACTTGCTCTCTGGTCGAGAGGGCAGCCGTGTGGGTCAGGGCAGTGCTGCCTTCCAGCTACTGTGGATGGAAGCAGCGTGAGGGCGTCGCCTTCCCTCTTACGCTGAGTTACAGCACCGCTCCTGTGCCAGGTAAGTACACTACGGGCTCACCATAGCCCGTGCTACTTGCAACTTTTTGTTCCCAGTAGCTGAATCTATAACAACAACTTGCGCTGCGCTCTGTGTGAGGCGCTTGTGGCCGCACAAGCCCAGCACGCGCACACTGCGCTGGTTTACCACCACTAACAGTCACTGACAGTGGTATAGTGATTTATTATTATTTTTTACCACATACGTGGCCACATATTTCCAGTGCTAACCAGCATATATTTATTCTGTCCTCCATGGACAGGGTGAGAGATCTGATAGTGATATAGCGATAGTGGAATACTACTCCCCTAGTTGTGCTTGTGTGGGGTTGATCTTCGGCTCTTTGGTCCCGCCTCTCAACTGTCAATCAACCAGTCAACCGGATTTGCAGTACGCCTCGACAAGAGACCAAATGAGAATGTAAAGAGTTGAAATAATTGACAAAATGAGGAATTTCTTAACCTAAAGAGAAACAGGAACTCTACGAAGGTTTCTCAATAGTGTGTGCAAGAAACGTGAGGGTTGTCAGACCCATTAAAGACGGGTCAGAGTCTTAATAAAGGTCACAGCCTCAAGATAAGACCTTAATGGTATAGTTTTGTTTTTTCACTGCGAAAGATAACAACTTGAAAGTTTATGCAGTTTAATTAAACAGGGTTGTTAAGGGCTCTACAAGCCAGGGAGTGTGGATCCCAGGTTTACGAACCGGGGTCCAGCGAGGTCCGTGGTTCAGGAACCGGGTCCGGCACGGTCCGTGGTTCAGGAACCGGGTCCGGCACGGTCCGTGGTTCAGGAACCGGGTCCGGCACGGTCCGTGGTTCAGGAACCGGGTCCGGCACGGTCCGTGGTTCAGGAACCGGGTCCGGCACGGTCCGTGGTTCAGGAACCGGGTCCGGCACGGTCCGTGGTTCAGGAACCGGGTCCGGCACGGTCCGTGGTTCAGGAACCGGGTCCGGCACGATCCGTGGTTCAGGAACCGGGTCCGGCACGGTCCGTGGTTCAGGAACCGGGTCCGGCACGGTCCGTGGTTCAGGAACCGGGTCCGGCACGGTCCGTGGTTCAGGAACCGTGTTCGACACGGTCCGTGGTTCAGGAACCGTGTTCGACACGGTCCGTGGTTCAGGAACCGTGTTCGACACGGTCCGTGGTTCAGGAACCGTGTTCGACACGGTCCGTGGTTCAGGAACCGGGTCCGGCACGGTCCGTGGTTCAGGAAGAGCTGAAGGAGACGGACCCAGACTAGAGCGTGAAGGAGTGTACACAAGACAGTGGGACTCCTCGCTCTCCGAGACGTCAACGTGAAGATCATTCATGAAAAAATAAGAAATTGATTGTGGGACGTGACAGAACCGTGGGCGTCGATGTTGGCCGTGGGCGTCATTACAGGATGGAGATCACACTACAGAAGACATTGAGAGAGAGAGAGAGAGAGAGAGAGAGAGAGAGAGAGAGAGAGAGAGGAGAGAGAGAGAGAGAGAGAGAGAGAGAGAGAGAGAGAGAGAGAGAGATGGGAAGGAGAGTGAAAGGGGAAAGGGAGAGTAGTAGAGACTGTGTGTGAGAGAGAGAGTAGAAGAGGAAACGTATTAACAGGAATAAGAGGGAGATAGAAGTTGGAAAGCGGTGGGTTGGGTGTCAATGTGGGAGGGCGGCCCTGTGAGTGTGGGGGTCGGGAAGGTGTGGAGGAAGGAAAGGGGGGGGGGGGGAGGTAAGGAGGGTGAGAAGGGAGTACAATGAACCAGGAAACTCCACGCTCACGCCAACCATCACTACGCCTGGTGCCTGCCATCCACCACAACGCTGCCTCTCGCTCCACTGCTAGCTCTAGCCTCCCACTTGCTTCTGCTCCTGCATGTCGGGAGCAGAAACATCTCTGGCCACTACTGGAAGGTTGTAGTAGTGGTGCTAATCTCATTAATGAAGAGAAGCACCACCTCTACAACCTTAGTGAAGTAACAACATTGCCATTGTAACTACTGACAACTTTCCAGTGTTATCATTGGTCGTCACCACTACCATAGTGACAATGCAGCTCACTTACATTCCAAGAAAAATCAGAAATATTGCTGGAACAAAAATGGAATTGTTAACAGCAAATGAGACAAGACCATGTAGGTGGTGGACCAGCCGGGGGGGAGGTGGTGGACCAGCCGGGGGTGAGGGGTGGTGGACCAGCCGGGGGGGAGGTGGTGGACCAGCCGGGGGGAGGTGGTGGACCAGCCGGGGGGGAGGTGGTGGACCAGCCGGGGGGGAGGTGGTGGACCAGCCGGGGGGGAGGTGGTGGACCAGCCGGGGGGGGGGGGTGCTGGACCAGCCGGGGAGGTGGTGGACCAGCCGGGGGGGGGGGTGTGCTGGACCAGCCGGGGGAGGTGCTGGACCAGCCGGGGGAGGTGCTGGACCAGCCGGGGAAGGTGCTGGACCAGCCGGCCGCTTCAAGCAACAGTATTCTAGATCAAGTCATCACGGGGTAACATTTGTAAAAGTGTATAGCAATACCAAAATAGTGAGAATCATTTGTAAAAGTGTATAGCAATACCAAAATAGTGAGAATCCTAAATCCTTATCCAGCTCTTCCCTCCAAGTGTTGTACAGTCACACTGGCTTTACCGCTCTCTTGATAATTAACCGACCTTTACCCCCCACAATTGTCTGGTATGTATGAAAACACCTGACGACATCTGGCCCACCTGTTCCTGTGCCAGGTAAGTTACGGGCTCACCATAGCCCGTGCTACTTGCCCCGCTCCTGTGCCAGATAAGTTACGGGCTCACCATAGCCCGTGCTACTTGCCCCGCTCCTGTGCCAGATAAGTTACGGGCTCACCATAGCCCGTGCTACTTGGAACTTGTTCCGAGTAGCTGAATCTATAACAACAACATCTGGCCCACACATGTAACAGGATAATGAGCACCAGGAACTTCAACTCCAGCACCCCCATGTGTGCCCACGCCACCTACACTGACCTCCTACACTGACCACCTACACTGACCTCCTACACTGACCACCTACACTGACCTCCTACACTGACCACCTACACTGACCACCTACACTGACCACCTACACTGACCACCTACACTGACCACCTACACTGACCACCTACACTGACCACCTACACTGACCTCCTACACTGACCACCTACACTGACCACCTACACTGACCTCCTACACACTGACCACACTGACCACCTACACTGACCACCTACACTGACCTCCTACACTGACCACCTACACTGACCACCTACACTGACCACCTACACTGACCTCCTACACTGACCTCCTACACTGACCTCCTACACTGACCTACACTGACCTACACTGACCACCTACACTGACATCCTACACTGACCACCTACACTGACATCCTACACTGACATCCTACACTGACCACCTACACTGACCACCTACACTGACCACCTACACTGACCTCCTACACTGACCACCTACACTGACCTCCTACACTGACCTCCTACACTGACCTCCTACACTGACCACCTACACTGACCACCTACACTGACCACCTACACTGACCACCTACACTGACCACCTACACTGACCACCTACACTGACCACCTACACTGACCACCTACACTGACCTACACTGACATCCTACACTGACCACCTACACTGACCTCCTACACTGACCACCTACACTGACATCCTACACTGACCACCTACACTGACCACCTACACTGACCTACACTGACCTCACCACACTCAACAAAGAATACCGCGACCCGGAATTTCACCCCAAATTCCTAGGAGGACAAATGGAGTTCCTGGGCACGTTGAGCCTAATGGTACCAAACTACCGATATTATTGTGTGCAAAAGTTAAGCGTCGCCTCGAACATTACTACAAGTATTTGTGTGTACGTCTGGTGACACCCGCCAAACACACACCGAAACTACGACGTTGGTACAACGTTCGAACAAGTTTTAACACCTAACCAGTTATAACAACCAATATAGCAAGTTGTAACAACGTTCTAATACGTCATAAACACGTTAAACCAAGATGTAACAACTTTATTACAAGTTGTAACAAGCGGAAAATAGAGACAGTTTCGGTTTGTGTTTCCAGGGCAGAGCGTGCGTGTGTAAAGGAAGAAATGGGTTTATCACACAGAATGTTGGGTAATATGTTGATTGTGTGTGTGTGTGTTGTGATTAATATGAACACGTTGTACTGAACAGGGTGAGAGTAGCTTGAGCTACTTCATCCCTTTGTGTGTATTTATAATATATAATATATACTCAGTATACATATTTCAGTCTACCCCCCCCCCCTCCTCCTCGCTCTTCCAGCAACCACACCCAAGTGTAGAACGATACCTACCCAAAAGTACCATGCTGTTGTTGTTGTTATAGATTGAGCTACTCGGAACAAGTTCCAAGTAGCACGGGCTATGGTGAGCCCGTAGTGGACTTACCTGGCACAGGAGCGGGGCTGTGACTGACCAAGTACCATGCATCTTGAGGTGAACTTGATGGGTCGTGAATACGTTGAGTCCACCTGGCCGCCTTCAGTACCCTAACGAGACCCGCCCACAAGGAAGTGTGGGCGGGCCTTGTTAGGGTACTGAAAGGTAATTACGGTGGTTGGCGGCAGTGACCTTCCAAGGTCGAATCTCGTGGCGTCTAAGGAATTGTAGACGTTGCCTTCAAGCTTGACCTTAGAGTTGTTGAACAATAGGGGGAAGATGGATGGTGTGTGACTGGATGGGTGAGTGGATGGATGGATGGATGGATGGATGAGTGGATGGATGAGTGGATGGATGAGTGGATGGATGGATGAGTGGATGGATGAGTGGATGGATGAGTGGATGGATGGGTGAGTGGATGGATGGGTGAGTGGATGGATGAGTGGATGGATGAGTGGATGGATGGATGAGTGGATGGATGAGTGGATGGATGGATGAGTGGATGGATGGATGAGTGGATGGATGAGCGGATGAGAGATACTGGGTTGTCTGAGGGGTTTATATGGCGCATTCCAGTGGCAAGATGGAAGGATTTGATTTTTTGCATGAGTCGCCAGACATGAGGTTTGATGCTAATAATGAGAGCTGTTGCTACCGCATATTTTAGTGCATCAACCTCTCTTTAACCCTCCCCCCCCCACTCTACCTTCCCCATTCTCCCTCCCTCTTCCTCCCTCCCTCCCACCTCCTACCCTCCCACCTCCCTCCCTCTGCAAGACGGGCCTCAGTACCAGGTCGAGGCGCATTTTGAGCCGCATTATTTCCGGGTGAAAGCTTGTAGATGAACCAGTTTTTGATTGAGAGAGCAGTTAATGCACACAAGACCAGCACCACTTTCTTTCTGGAAAAAAGAAAGTTCATGGAAGAGAGAGAGCATGGGAGTGAGTGAGAGAGAGAGTGAGAGAGAGAGAGAGTGAGAGAGAGAGAGAGAGGAGAGAGAGAGAGAGAGAGAGAGTGAGAGAGAGAGAGAGAGAGAGAGAGTGAGAGTGAGAGTGAGAGTGAGAGAGAGAGAGAGAGCGAGAGCGAGCGAGCGAGCGAGCATGGGAGTGAGTGAATTAACTGTGTTGCGACGTGGACCATTACCTTGCACTGAGCGAGTTGCGTCGCCAGAACACCGTAGGAAGTACCGAGTTAACCCCAACTGGGCTTCACCCGGCAACAGTGAACACTGTGGGTGCAGGGTGGCCGCCCACCAGTCCTCACCCCGCCCACCACCCCTCACCCCGCCCACCAGTCCCTCACCCCGCCCCCAGTCCCTCACCCCGCCCAGTCCCTCACCCCGCCCACCAGTCCCTCACCCCGCCCACCACCCCTCACCCCGCCCACCACCCACAAGCAGCCGCCTATCCAATTTGCTACCAGATTTAGCTGAAGGTGTCTATTAGAGATAAATTTAACCGACGCCCATGCTTTTAAGACGATTATAGTCAGGGTGGCAGGGTTGTTGAAGCGTTCCTAGTAGCTAGGAAGGTTTGGATGGCAGGCTGTTAGGGTGGCAGGGTTGTTAGGGTGGCAGCAACAGACAAAAGTGCCTAGTGAATGGCGTTGCTTGTTGGCGGGGTAGGTGGCATTTGGCATGGGCCAGGAGGCTGGTGGATGCTCCAGGAGGCTGGTGGATGCCCCAGGAGGCTGGTGGATGCCCCAGGAGGCTGGTGGATGCCCCAGGAGGCTGGTGGATACCCCAGGAGGCTGGTGGATGCTCCAGGAGGCTGGTGGATGCTCCAGGAGGCTGGTGGCTGCTCCAGGAGGCTGGTGGATGCTCCAGAAGGCTGGTGGATGCTCCAGGAGGATGGTGGATGCTCCAGGAGGCTGGTGGATGCTCCAGGAGGCTGGTGGA